ACAAAAGTTGAGCAACGAATATGACAAAAGAAAAGTATGCAGACAGGGCACATGTAATCTCAGACTTTGGGAGGGCGAGGCAGGTGGATCACCTGAGGTCAGGAGTTCCAAACCAACCTGTCCCACGCGGTGAAACCAGGTTTCTACTAAAAATACAAAAATTAATTGGGCTTGGTGGCAGGCACCTGAAATCCCAGCTACTGGGGAGGCTGAGGCAGGAGACAGGAGAATCGCTTGAACCAATGAGACGGAGGTTGCAGTGAGCCGAGATCGCGCCATTGCTGGGCACGGTGGCTCATGCCTGCGATCCCAGCACCAGCACTTTGGGAGGCCGAGGCTGGTAGATCACGAGGTCAGGAGTTTGAGACCAGCCTGGCCGACATGGTGAAAACTGGTCTCCACTAAAAATACCAAAATTAGCTCGGTGTGGTGGCTGGCACTTGTAGTAACAGCTACTCAGGAATCCAAGGAAGGAGAATCACTTGAACCTGGGAGGTGGAGGTTGCAGTGAGTGGAGATTAGGCTACATTGCACTCTAGCCTGGTGACAGAGACTCTGTCACAAAAAAAAAAAAAAAAAAAAAAAAAAGAAAGAAGTATGCAATAATTAGTGGCCCAGAGGCAATCCTTTTTAACATTTTGATGCATCTTTTTTCCCCCCTTTTTGAGAGAGTGTCTTGCTCTGTTGCCCAGGCTGGAGTGCAGTGGCACGATCTTGGCTCACTGCAACCTCCGCCTCCTGGATTCAAGTGATTCTTCTGCCTCAGCCTCCCCAGTAGCTGGGATTACAGGCACCCACCACCACAGCTAGCTAATTTTTGTATTTTTAGTAGAAACTGGTTTTTGCCATGTTGTCCAGGTTGGTCTTGAACTCCTGATCTCAAGTAATTCACCTGCCTCGGCCTTCTAAAGTACTGGAATTACAGGTGTGAGCCACCTCGCCCAACCTTAAGTTTGTTTTTATAGTTATTCCTTTAAATGGGTACATTCCAATTTACTAAAGTAATACTTGGTGATTTGGATATTGAAGTTGTTTTCTTCTTCAATTTAACCTTAGCAGTGTGGCAATGAAGATCACTGAGATAACTTTCAATTTCATAGACTCTTCTTTTCCAGGGGGATTCTTCCTTTCATATCTCTCAGTTTGGGTGAGACTTTCAATAACAAGTTGCCTGAATAAAAGACTAAATAAAGGTAAAGATCAGGCCAGGCATGGTGGCTCACAGCTGTAATCTCAGTACTTTGGGAGGCCAAGGCAGGCGGATCACCTAAGGTCAGGAGTTTGAGACCAACTTGGCTAACATGATGAAACACCATCTCTACCAAAAATGCAAAAAGTAGCAGGTTGTGATGGCTGGCACCTGTAATCTCAGCTACTCGGGAGGCTGAAGCAAGAGAAATGCTTGAACCTGGGAGGTGAGATCACACCACTGCACTCCAGCCAAATGATGTTTATCTTTTTTTTCTTTTTGAGATGGAGTTTTACTCTTGTTGCTCAGGCTGGAGTGCAATGGCATGATCTTGGCTCACCGCAACCTCTACCTCAGGCTCTGAGTAGCTGGGATTACAAGCGTGCACCACCACGTCCAGCCAATTTTTGTATTTTGCTTTTTTTTTTTTTTTTTTTGAGACGGAGTTTCGCTCTTGTTACCCAGGCTGGAGTGCAATGGCGCGATCTCGGCTCACCGCAACCTCCGCCTCCTGGGTTCAGGCAATTCTCCTGCCTCAGCCTCCTGAGTAGCTGGGATTACAGGCACGCACCACCATGCCCAGCTATTTTTTTTTTTGTATTTTTAGTAGAGACGGGGTTTCACCATGTTGACCAAGATGGTCTCGATCTCTTGACCTTGTGATCCACCCGCCTCGGCCTCCCAAAGTGCTGGGATTACAGGCTTGAGCCACCGCGCCCGGCCCAATTTTTGTATTTTTAGTAGAGATAAGGTTTCACCATGTTGGCCAGGCTGGTCTCAAACTCCTGACCTCAGGTTATCTACCCACCTTGGCCTCCCAAAGTTCTGGGATTATAGGCATGAGCCCACTCCGCCTTTTTCTTTCTATTTAAGACAGGGTCTTGCCTTGTTACCCAGGCCGAAGTACAGTGGCACAATCATAGTTCACTACAGTCTCAAACCCCTGGACTCAAATGCTTCCCTCCTCAGCCTTCTGAGTATCTACGACTTGAGGCATTAACCACTGCACCTAGATAAGGATGCTGAGACCTTGTTTGCATGCTCCCATGAGTGTACCTGCTCAGATACTCCCCTACAGAATGGCCCTGCTGAGACTGCAAAGGATCTAGAAAGGTTGTCAATCTTCTGAGCACAGCCTTGCCAGGACCACACAGGCTACAGAGAGAAGGTGTCCAGAGAGACAGACAGCTGAACCAGACTGTAGGCACCACACAGAGTCAGGAAATTCTTCTTCCCCACCAGTCTGGGAAAATTCTCAACCTCATGATGTTAATAACTTTATTTTAATTGATACCTTTATTTACTTCTGCCCTGCTGAGTGGACAGACCACTCAGAGGAGAGGTGGTTGTCATTTTGAGTGGTTAGAAATTTGGCCCCACTGTCTTCTCCATTTTCTTCAGCTCATTTTCTAGCTCTGGGTTTCTTAGCCATTCCCTAGGGAGCCTTTTGAAAATGTGTGGATTTTATTTTTGTAATTATGCTGAGGGAAGGGGCACTATTGGCATTTATGGGTGGGGCAGAGGTATAAGATATTCTTCAAAGCACTACCTACATGTTGAAGAATTGTTCCTCACCCAGATTCTCAAAAGTCCCCTAGGACATTCATGTAGTGAAAACCTGTGTTTAATTATCTAAGCCTAGAACTTAATACAGTATAAAAATTTTTTAATATACAGTGAACTTTCTAGGAATGCAATTACAGTTCTGTGTAAATTTAGGGAAAATTAACTTTGCTACCAAGAGTTGTTCAACATTTTGTTACACCACTTCATTGACAACAACATGTTGGAGGTAGCTGAGTCACCAACTCAGCACCTGGATCAGCCTGTGTTGGTAGCAGTTCCATCCTGTGGTTCTGTGAATAGGTGGAAGCATCTGCCTACTCCATCAAGACTTCTAGGGTAGTAGGGCCTCAGCACTCACACATTAAAATACTGTTTATGTTATTTTATTGCAAGCTATTTTTCTTTAATTTCTCCTTTACATTACAGAAAGGGAAGCATTTTTTTTTTTTTAAAGTTGTATATATAGGTAGGTTATATCATCTATGACTTCCTTCCTTCCTCTCTCCCTCCTCCTCCATCTCTCTCTCTCTCTCTCTCTTTCCTTGATACAGAGTCTTTTTTTTTTTTTTGAGACGGAGTTTCACTCTTGTTACCCAGGCTGGAGTGCAATGGTGCGATCTCGGCTCACTGCAACCTCCGCCTCCTGGGTTCAGGCAATTCTCCTGCCTCAGCCTCCTGAGTAGCTGGGATTACACGCACGTGCCACCATGTCCAGCTAATTTTTTGTATTTTTAGTAGAGACGGGGTTTCACCATGTTGACCAGGATGGTCTCGATCTCCCGACCTCCTGATCCACCCGCCTCGGCCTCCCAAAGTGCTGGGATTACAGGCTTGAGCCACCATGCCCGGCCCGAGACAGAGTCTTGCTCTGCCACCCAGGCTGGAGTGCAGTGGTGTGATCTTGGTTCACTGCAACCTCTGCCTCCCAGGTTCAAGCGATTTTGGTGTCTCAACTGGGATTACAGGTGCATACTACCATACCAAGCTAATTTTTGTATTTTTAGTAGAGACGGGGTTTTGCCATGCCGGCCAGGCCAGGCTGGTCTCTAACACCTGAGCTCAAGTGATCGGCCTGCCTCGGTCTCCCAAAGTGCTGGGATTACAGGGGTGAGCCTTATCTATGAATTTCAATTTAGGACAGTAAAAGTGTCATTAAAACATATTTATTGTAAAAAAGAGTTGAAGGTTGAGAGTCTAAATTCTAGGCAGTCTCTCAGTGTTTGGTTTCTTCCTACCGTTTTCTCCCCCCAGGGCCAGCCAGAAAGCAGCTTTTTTTTTTTTTTTTTTTTTGTCCTCCCAAGAAGGAGCCCACTGTTTCCTCTCCCAGCCCAAACTCAGGCCCATGAACAACACCACACAGTACACACACAACACACCACACACACACACACACACACACACACACACACACACACACACCCTCCTCCACTTAAAGGTATAGCCGAGAGCTTCTGGAGCCTTCAAAAAGGCGGCCTGTACCTACTGTCTTTAGCGCTTCCAGTTTGCCCTTGGTCAAGAAATACTGTTTGCTAGGCCCTGCTGGAGTACGGAAGATACTACTGGCTCCTAACTACCTGGAGGTTCTTTTTTCTCATGTCCTTTTACTCCCTTCCTACCTTAATTTCTCTCCTTGATGTCCCCCTCCCTTTTAAAAAAATTTTTTTTAATTTTTTGCCTCCAATCCTTTCTGTGCGTTACCTGCAGAGCAGGCGAGCAGCAATGCTGCTGGACCATGGAGCTACTCTAGTCTCCCGGAAATCTCTTCTATACCCAACCCTTCTCGCGCTTAGGTGGCCCTCAGTACCCCCTTCCCCACCCCACCCACCCCCATTCTGACCCAGGCTGCTTCTTTCCAGTCCTCGGGTCTCAGTTCTTTTGGGCCTCTGCCTCTCTCCTCTCACCCGGATCCAGGGCTGCCTTCTCTTTGTGCAGCAGTTCTTCTCCACCTCCATCCCAGACTCCCTGTCTCAGCGCCAGCTCCTCTGTCTCTAGCTCAGGTTCCTTCACTCCCACCCCAGCATCCAGTTGTCTTGCCCAGAGGTCCCTCGGCAGTGACCGGTGCCCGCCGTTGAGTATGCGTGCACCAGTGCGCCTCCCTCTCCCCCACCTCTCCGCCCCGCTCCGCTCCACCGCCCGCCCCACAGCGCTGTGGGCGGTCCAAGGCGGGGCTGGGATCCGGGGCGGCTCCCGGGGCTCGGATTGTGGGAGGCGCCCTCTCCCCGGTCTTCCCCTCTCATCCCCCCGCCCTGCCTTCCCCTGCACCCTCCTTCCTCCCTCCGCCCGGGAGCTCTACCCGGTCCCCGGCGCCGCCTCCTTCCCTCCCGGCTCCCCGCTCCCGTGGCTGCCGCCGCCCCGGGGAAGGAGAGACAGGGGTGGGGTTTGGGGGAAGCGAGAGAGGAGGGGAGAGACCCTGGCCGGGCTGGAGCCTGGATTCTAGGGGAGGAGGGACGGGAGGAGGAGGAAGGTGGAGGAGAAAGGAGGGGGGAGCGGGGAGGAGAGGCCGGGCCTGGGGCCTTGAGGCCCGGGGAGAGCTGGGGAGCCGGGCCGGCGCGCCGAGGTAAGAGCCAGGGCCCCGGGTTAGCAGGGCTAGGAGAAGGGGCGCGCGGCGTTGTGGGAGAGGGGGCAGCGGGCGCAGGGCCCAGCTGGGGTAAGCGGGGCTGGGGGAGAGGAGGAACCGTGGGGATGGAATCGGGGAGCGCTGAGGCGACCGATCCCGGGAGCGTGGGTAAGCCAGGCTCCTGCAAGCTGCGGGGGCCGGGGGAGAGGAGGTGGTGAGAGGTGGAGTCCCGGGAGGGTTGGGGGCCGAGGGAGGCAGGAGGAGGGTGGGGACAGGCTTTCTCTCCTCCTCTCCCCCCACCCCGCGCGGGGCTCCGCCCCCGCCTCCTCCGCGGGGCGCTCATCTAGTCCCCAGGCTGAGCCCGGTCGGAGCCTGCGAGGCAACGGGCTTGAGGCCGGGTAGTCTCCGGGTACGGGCCCCCGCCGGCGGGGCTCCGTCCGGTCCTCATGGCCGCCTTTCACTTAGATGCTGCTGCTGCTGCTGCTACTGGCGCCACTCTTCCTCTGCCCCCCCGGCGCGGGCGGAGCGCAGACCCCCAACGCCACTTCAGAAGGTGCATCCTTCTTCGACGACCTCGGGCCCTCCTTCGCCCCACTTCCCTTTCCCTGCATCTCCTCGTTTCTGGTCCTCATCATGACCCCTTCAGTCCCACATAGCTTCCCCGTCTGGCAACCCCTTCTGCTCGGCCCCACTTTACTACTGCTGACCTCCTTCCGTCACCCCACGTTACTACCCAGCACCCCTTTTCTCTGCTCACATTACTACACTCTACCACCTTTCTGTGCATTATTTTTTCAGCCTCAATCCTCTTTCCCGGCCCCACGTTACTACCTCAGTTCCTCCCTTTTCTTGGTCTCTTTTTATTGTCCAGATGGTCTTACAAGGCCCCCTTATCCTCTCATCCTAATTCAACTCAAATATCCTCATTTAGCTTTTTTGTTTTTTTTTTTAAGAAAGCTCCACCTACATAAACCCTTCATAATTTCTTAATTACTTTTCTTCCTTACCTCCACCCAGCACCCTTCCCTCCCCACTTGTGGGTTCTCTCATCACCTTTAACCCTGGACCTTTACTCTCTGTCCTTTAGCCCCGCGCTCTGTACGTGTCCCCACTCCCACCCTCTAGTGCCCCATCCCTCTTCCTCTGTCCCCAGCCTGCCGACAGACCACGCCCTACTCTCCCCTGCCTCCCACTGGGGAGCCTACCTTTTCTTCTTTCCCACCATTGCTCTCTATATGCCTCCGCCACTCACCCCTTAGGTTGCCAGATCATACACCCGCCCTGGGAAGGGGGCATCAGGTATCGGGGCCTGACTCGGGACCAGGTGAAGGCTATCAACTTCCTGCCGGTGGACTATGAGATTGAGTATGTGTGCCGGGGGGAGCGCGAGGTGGTGGGGCCCAAGGTCCGCAAGTGCCTGGCCAACGGCTCCTGGACAGATATGGACACACCCAGCCGCTGTGGTGAGTAGCCTCAGAAGCCCCTTCCCTCTTCAAGACCATTCCTTTTCCTGCCTCAAAGTTAGCATTACTGCTTGCAAGTCAGCACTTTAAATCCGGTATACCAAAATTCACAAATACATTTATTGAATGACTACTACATCAGAGCAATTTTGCTGTGTGCTGTTGGAGGTAGTATAGCTGGCAGCCTGCCCAGTTCATTTCATCCTCCCTCCATTAGGCCACTGATCATTGGCCTATAACATTGATAATTCATCTTGTGAGTTATTCTCGGTGAGGATCATTAGCGGCAGATGATGACAAAAAATTCTAAAATGATTTCATCACATTTTTGAATACCTCTGTCAGCAATCCAGCGACCATATGCCCAAGAAACAAAAACCAGTTTAATATTAATAGAAGCCAACTATAATAAGAAAAGCAAATCTGATTGTGCATCCAAAGTTATATACATCTACATATTTCAAAGCCAGAGAACCGCCCACTGTAGCTGACTTTGAAGAGATCCCATTTTGTGTGCTTATAGCCCCATCTTGGGTTCCTACAATGGTAATTTTTTTTTTCCCTTTCGGGAATGTGTGGATGCTTGCAGAGATAAGGGAGGACTGGAAGATAGGTAGGCAAATCCTTTCCACGTGTGATTTTCTTTAGCACAGGGTGCTTGAGGACCCAAACCCACACCTCAGTCCCCAGCTCTTTAAAGGGAAAGAGACTTCTCCAACTTGCCTCTCTTCTTATTTTCCTGTCTCTCCACAGTCCGAATCTGCTCCAAGTCTTATTTGACCCTGGAAAATGGGAAGGTTTTCCTGACGGGTGGGGATCTCCCAGCTCTGGACGGAGCCCGGGTGGATTTCCGGTGTGACCCCGACTTCCATCTGGTGGGCAGCTCCCGGAGCATCTGTAGTCAGGGCCAGTGGAGCACCCCCAAGCCCCACTGCCAGGGTGAGGGGAACAGCTGCCTGCATGCAGCTGATGAGGACGCTTGTGTGAGGATGGGAGTGGGGTGGGAATGGATGATGGGAAAGAATGGGGAGCTATAAAAATGTGGGGGAGGGCATTGGAAAGGGGGAGATGAAAGTCCCTTTTTCCTCCGTCACCTGCCTCAAACTTACTTTTACAGTCCCTAGTATCTTCTGTATGTTGCGGGCTTCCTTCCTTTACCTTTAAAAAAGTAATCTTCCTGCTCCCAATTCTTAGGCCTCACATTTTCTCTTTCCTTTATGAATCTCACCTCTCTCACCTTCTTAAGGTTTAAATATTCCAATTTTCCCCTTCTCTAAACTTAGAACTTTCCATGAATCACATTCTTCTAGAGGGTGATCTCTCCTTCTAGAATTGATCCCTCGCCATTGGACTCAGAAATAAATCAAACAGTGTACTTAGAAAAATTGAGAAGGGGAGCTCTGGGAGTGGAAACATATTAGGGTAAAAGACTTAAAATTGGAGGCAGCATTATCAGAAGATAAAGAACTCAGGGATTGGATGGGAAGAAGACAGTCCTTTTCTATACTTCCCAGACAACCTCCATTATTCCCTAAGGGAATCAGGGTTGTGTTTGTCTACCTCTTTTTTTTTTTTTTTTTTTCATGTATTTCTACAAACTCTCCCTTTTCTAGGCACTCCAACTCTGCTGTCTTCTCTCCTGGGATGCAGTCATCCCATTCCTATGCCTCATACTTCCTCTACCCTGGTAGATTCTTTCAAGATCTTTGGACCTTACTGTCCTCACATAAGTCAGTTATTCTGCTTCTAGTTTACCATTTCATTCTGGAAACTGAGAGTCCCATCCAGGGGTGGACTTATGACACTACTGAAACTTAGGCTTCAAGAATCCTCACCTACAGGGCCCTCTTCCTGTGCTCTTATAGAGGGCTCGGTGGATATGTGTTCATATGGTAATAGGCTTTTGTAAAAATTGCAGAAATAAGATTTCAATAGCAATTGCTTAAAGCCAATTGTATGTGTATTCTTTTCTTAAAGACTCCCAATTTTGTAATATTCAGGCGCCACAGAACCAAGATCTGCCCCAAACTTAGTTGCTGGCATTCCTGTCTCAAATTCTGTTGTCCTATGAAAAATCAGAGAAGAAAATCAATAAGTCCTGACCCCTAGTCCCACCTTGCTCTTATCCTCAGGCACCCTCCCTTCAGAAACGCAGGCTTCTGCTCTCCCGGTCTTCAGCATGGACAGGTGTGGGAGGGGGCTGGGGATCAGGCCAGGGAAGCTGGGAGCCAGTGGTAACTCTTCTCTGATCCCCGTCTTTCCTGCTGCCAGTGAATCGAACGCCACACTCAGGTGAGATGAGAAACCCTTACCGCGTGCACTGCAATGCCCTTCCCTTCACTCTGCACCCTCCACCCCCTGAAATTCTGCCCTTAGGCTACGGGGGGGGGGTCGTCCTTTTCTCACCTTCCCCAACCCACCCCAGTTTGCGGCCACCCCCTTCTCTCCCTACCTGTTTCCTGCCTCCAGTCCCGGTTTTCCGCGGGGCTGCGGTCCCTCCCGTCCCTGCTTGGCTGCACTTCCCTGGGCGCCACCTCCTCCCAGACTCTGCCTCGTCGGCGTCAGGCAGAGCCCAGCAGAGGGCGGCAGGGTGCCGGGAGACCCTGAGCTTCACTGCGTTTTCCCCTGTGGGGTTCCTTGCGACCTTCCCTGGAACCTTTTCCAGCCTGCTGCCTCCTAGGATTTCGCCTAATGGACCTCCTCAGCCCGTCCCCCCATCCCAACCCTCGCCAGACCTCTCGCGCTCTTCCCCACGTCCTCTCCGTTCCGTGTACCCCTTCCCTTGTCTTTCTCAATTCCATGCCCCTTCTCCCTTTCTCAGGCTTCGGTCTCCCCAGCCCCAGGCTCCCTTCCACGACCCAACCACTCCCTCTCCACCAGTCTCCCTTCCATACCCAACTCGTTCCCTCCAAAACCGTGTCCTCAACCCCCACACCCTCAGCGCCTCACGGCATCGACTCCTACCCTCACTTCAGACCTCAGGCGCCAGCCCCGGTTCTCTCCCGTCCCACTCGCATCCTTCCCTTCCTACCCCGGCTCCTCCGGGCTTCAGCCTCCCGCGGCTTCCTCCGCGCACCCCGCCCTCCCGGCACGCCCCGTCCCCTTTCCTCCTCCCCTCGGGTCCCCTTAAGTGAGACCCCTCCCTTCCTCGCTCCTTCCTTTCCTCTTGGAGGTTGCCTCCTCCCTCCCCTCCCCGCCCCTCCCTCCGACTGTCGCTCCCACCTCGGCGCTCGCTTCCCTCCCCGCCCCCTTCCTGCCTCCCCAGCTCCCGCCCGCCCCCCACCCCCCGCTGCCGCGCGCCGCCCGTGACGTCAGAGCCCCCTCCCAGCCCCACATCTCCCTCCTCCTCCTCCCCTCCGTCGGTCGGTCAGTCCGCGAGGAGAGTCCGCGGTGGCGGCGGTGGTGGCGGGAGCGAGAGCGCGGGGGCCGTAGGAAGCCAACCTTCCCTGCTTCTCCGGGGCCCTCGCCCCCTCCTCCCCACAAAACCAGGGATGGAGGCGCCTCCCCGGCATCCCCTCAGCAGCCCTCCCCGGGAAAAGTGTCCCCCCTGAGCTCTTTCCGCTCCCCAACAGCTACCCCTGCCCCCCACGCCATGGGGCCGGGGGCCCCTTTTGCCCGGGTGGGGTGGCTGCTGCCTCTTCTGGTTATGATGGCGGCAGGGGTGGCCCCGGTGTGGGCCTCCCACTCCCCCCATCTCCCGCGGCCTCACCCGCGGGTCCCCCCGCACCCCTCCTCAGAACGGCGCGCAGTGTACATCGGGGCGCTGTTTCCCATGAGCGGGGGCTGGCCAGGGGGCCAGGCCTGCCAGCCCGCGGTGGAGATGGCGCTGGAGGACGTGAATAGCCGCAGGGACATCCTGCCGGACTATGAGCTCAAGCTCATCCACCACGACAGCAAGGTAGTCCTGGACATGGGGTGGGTGGGAGGTGGGGGCCTGTGGGGCAGGGGGCCAGCCCGCTGCGCGCGCCTCCATCTGTCTGAGTCGCCTCTGGGATTGCGAGGCAGACCCCTCCCTTGTGTGACTGGCAGGAGATGGGCTGGGGGCGCTGGAGCTTGGGGAGAGTCGCAGGGGCTGGAGGTCCAAGATGTGGGTCTAGGGGTTCAAGATGCTTAAGCATGCTGCAAGGCAGACCCTTCTGCCCCGCTGCGGGAGTTTCGCGGAAGTGTCGGGGTTGGGGAAACTGGTGGTGGATTTAAGATATTAGCAGACCCTGATCCTCTGAGGGAGTAAACTAACCCTGAAATGGGTTGGGGGTGGAGGGAATGTCAGAGGTGGGGAGCTGGATTGGGGGTTTACATTTACCATGGTAACAAGGTAAAATCTTGGCGTAGGTTGGAGCTGGAAGGAATAGGGACAGAATGAGGAAAATTTTGAGAGACTTGAAAGCTCTAGTTTATTTATCATAACAAACAGCAAGGTGGCCGTGAGCCCTACCTGACTCCTCATCCCTCTCTTCTCAACCCTGTTGAGCATTCTCGGACTGTGGTATAGATGGCATATGGTGATTGGGGAAGGCTAGTATCAAGAGGTGGGCAGAGGTACTGGGAAAATGAATTGGATTGTGGGTCCACATGGGAGCCCCCACGATAGCATGGGGATGGAGAAGAGTCAGGATCAGGCAAAAGAAAGAGAACGGAAAAGAATGGCAGTGGGGGAGAGGGACCAGGAGGAAGAGTCGGGGTAGTGGGAGATCCTGGGGCATCCTTTGGAGCTTGGGTCCTGAACTTATCTTCCCTTATAGCATTGTGGCCTCTAGGATGTGAGAAGGGAAATGGGATGTAGAGATTAGGGAGGTGAGTTGAGGGAGAGAAAGAAGGTAAGAAAATTTGGGTCCAGGGGTATTAGAGAATAGCTTATAATGAGGTTCCTTTCCCACCCCTCTCTCCTACATGAATAATTGGGGTACGGGGAAGGATGTGGCACAGGGAAGGAGATGTAAGACTTCAAATTTATCTTCACTGACATGTTGCCCCAGAGATTTAAGGAATTGGGTTAGGGTGAAATAAAGTACAGAAGGTGAGAATTTGGTGATCTTACCAAAGATCAACCTTGGGGTGGTCCAAGGATTTATATTCATTCTTTAGAACATCACTATACACCTAGAAATAGGTGTATGTGTGCGTGATAGGTGTGTGAGGGGGCGGAAGTGAGGTTGAAGTTAGGGTGCTTGAGGAGAACAGAGCACAAGGATTGTCAGGAGCTTGGAGAGAGAACTTCAAATCTTCTTTGTTACTTTCTTGGCGTTTGTTAAAAATACAGATTCCTTGGTCAGGGATGAATCCCAAGTATTTATCTGTATTATCAATAGACATCCTGTCTTGGATGCCTAAGCTGTAAGCTAACCCCGGAATGCCTATGGGAAGAGCAGCAGGGTACAGGAAAATAATCAGGTATTAGGGTACGGGAGGCAGGAAGAGAAATAGAGGATCAGATCTGGTGGAGGGGTCAGACTCAGGCCAGTGAGAGAGATCAGTGGCTACGGGGAGTAGAATTTGAAGAAAATGACAGAGCGAGATGAGTGCAGGCTTTATGATACGGATCACAGGAGATAGGGGAGGCCTGGCTGTGATCTCAGACTCATGCACCATGATAGGTGATTCTCTGGAGGTGGTGAGGAGCAAACTCGGGACCTGGGAGAAGGGAGCTGGAGGAGAACATAGCCGAGGCTGCAAGCGGGGTGGGATGGGAAGGCAGAGGAACCGGAATGTGTCAACTGGAATGAGTCGGTTTCCTGCCTGCAAATCCAGATCCTTACAAGAGCAAACAGAGGGAGGAGAACTAAGGAAGTCTACTGGGGAGGGGGAGAGAATCACGTGGTGGAGAGAATCTGCAGTGATGAATAGGGTGTGGAAGAGGAAAAGGGTTGCAAGAAAAGGTAGATAAGAAGTGAGGAAACAAAATGGGGGGCATGCATTGCCCTGTTGATATGTATCTTACATGTTCTTGTATGACCTCATTGTTTCCATTAACCCTGCCTTTAGAGGAGAAGTGGAGGGGCACTGAGGGGCTGTGGGAGAAGCTAGAAGCAGGATCTGGAGTAATAGATGTGGGGAGAGTGCAGGAAGGTGGGTCCTGAGAATAGCAAAGATTTACAAAGATGCCTTAATGGAAGGCATACAGAGAAAACATTCAATGTTGTTGAGCACTGCCCTTGGCCAGGCGGAGGGCAGGGTGGGCAGCACAGAGTTCCCAGTGAGTGTGGTTCTTCAGATTCCAGCAGCTTCCCCTGGCTTCCCCTTCTCCAACTTCCCATCGTGTCCCAAATGTCAGGCCTCAGTGGGAGGTAAGCAGGCTCCAGAGTGCTTTCTTTATTTCCTTCCTACTTGCCCTCCCCTCCCTGCAACATTTCACCCTCCTCAGTCCCCTGAGCCCCCTGCCTGTGTCCCCTCTGCCCTGGCTTCCCACTGACTGCCATTTCGTCTTCATCTGTATTGGGGTTCCAGCAGCTTTTGAAATGTCATATATCAGCGGGAGGGGAACAGGCTGTGGGAGACCCGAGGCTGGCTCTTCCTCCCCCATTTCCCCTCCTCCCAGGCTTCCTTTCTTCTCTAGCTTTCTGCTTGTTTACTTTCCCCAGCTCCAAGCCTCTCTTTAAGGCACCTCTCAAATTGTCTGGTTTCTTGAGAGTTCCATTCTATTCAATCTCTCTGTTCTTTCCTCATCCTACATTCTTTCCCACTTCCACCCCCTCCTCCCCTCCCCCCCCCCCCCCCCCCCCCTCCCCGTGTCTTTTTTTCTAATGGACCTGTCAAATGTCAGCACCCAGCAGGAGGGATGGATCACTGAGCTGGACCCCCTACTGGTCTTGTTCCTGTTCTTTCTTTACTTATCCCTAGCTCTGAAAAGAGAAGAGGGAGGAAACTAATGGAAGGTGGGGAGAAGGGGTTTGTCGAGGTGAGGAAGGAATTTTCATAATAGGGCTTTGAGCAAGTTGTCTGGGGACTTAGAGAGAGTTTACCATATTCCTGCTGACTCTTTTCTACCCACTGATGTTTGGAGCATAGAAACATGGGGTAAAGGGCCTGATGACAGAGGGAAGGGGGATGTCTGAGGGTGAGCTGAAAGGAGGTAAGGTGGTATGCTCATTAATGCCAAAGGAGGGGTGTTCGGGAGAGGTGATGGATAAGGCTCCCGATGGAAGACAGAGAAGGAAGTTTAATGAAAGATGAGAAAAAAGCCGGGCACGGTGGCTCACGCCTGTAATCCTAATACTTCGGGAGGCCGAGGTGGGTGGATCACCTGAGGTCAGGAGTTGAAGACCAGCCTGGCCATCATGGTGAAATCCCATCTTTATAAAAAAATTTTTTTTTTTTTTTTAAAAAGAGGAAAAAAAAGACACTTGACAGGAAGAGATGACAGGAAGGAGAAGAAAATGGTAATTAATGATGAAAGTGAGTAATTGAGAAAGGAGCTAATTTGTTCAAGAAAGATAAGAGTAGGAGTTGCAGACAGGGGAGGGGTCCCAGGAGAGCTTGCCCTCATCTCCTCTCTTCTCTTCCAGTGTGATCCAGGCCAAGCCACCAAGTACCTATATGAGCTGCTCTACAACGACCCCATCAAGATCATCCTCATGCCTGGCTGCAGCTCTGTCTCTACGCTGGTGGCTGAGGCTGCTCGGATGTGGAACCTCATTGTGGTAAGCAGGGCTGTGGGGTCAGAAGATGGGGTCATTCTCTTTTGAGCTCTACTAAAGGGACCGTGGCGATTGCGGGTTTGCATTGAAAAGGATTGTGGAGGACCTGCTTCTAAGATTCAGAGTCATCTGCAGACCTGAGCTAGGCAGCCTCCTAGCAACAGTGGCCTGACAGTGCTGCAACTGACCTCCTTCTTCAGAAGGAATTGAAATTAGATCAGTGAAGGAGCATCCTGATTGTGAGGGGTGCGTGGGCCTTTGAGAATCACTTTTCCTTAGGCAGACCAGAAGTGGGGAGGATTGGAGAGAGTAAGGTAGAGAAACCCAAAGGCAGGAAGAGAGTTAAAGGAATTCTTAGCCACTCTTGGTGTCCTCAGTGAACAGACCCTATTGCACTCTTCCTGTCCCGCAGCTTTCCTATGGCTCCAGCTCACCAGCCCTGTCAAACCGGCAGCGTTTCCCCACTTTCTTCAGAACGCATCCATCAGCCACACTCCACAACCCCACCCGTGTGAAACTCTTTGAAAAGTGGGGCTGGAAGAAGATTGCCACCATCCAGCAGACCACTGAGGTCTTCACTTCGGTGAGGAGGGGTTGGGCAAGGGGTAAAGGGACATAAGCTCAAATTCCAGTGTAGGGAAATGCGACGAGAGATTCACTTTTAGGGGCAAGAGCTTGATTCTTCATTAAAAGAATGCATTCCACGTGGGTTAAGTACAGGGGAAGGAATGAGTTGAGTTTTGTGTAGCCAGGGGAAGGAATGAGTTGAGTTTTTGGGATCCTCTGTCTTTTCGATCTTATGATATTTTCTCCCCTGTTTGATGCTCAGTTCCCCAGACGGACAGACCCAGAATGACTCAGTTCTGTTAAAGTAGGTTCAATCCAAAGTAGAGGCAAGAGAAGGGAGGGAACGTGAGATAGGAATCCAGGAAGGCAGCAGATTCCAGAGGCTCTCAAGGGGGGTAGTGGGTGGGTGTGAATGGGAACAGAGGGGATGGAGCCAGGGGATTACAGGGGAGTGAGGGAGAGGAGGGAGAGAAAGAGAAAGAGGGGAATGAGGGAGAGGAGAGAGAGGGGCAGACAGAAAGCTGCATGGGTCTGATAGTTGGCACTAAGAGAGAGAAGCTGACAGACAAGTAGATATTGTCGGGGGAGAGGGAGATTTGGGGAGGTAGAGAGGAAATACAGGCTCTACATCTGAAGAAGGCAGTCTGCTCCCTCCCTTTTATTCTATTCTATGGGTCCTCTATCCACTGTTTTCAGTGGCCCTTTAATCCTCCCCCACTTTTGCTCTGATTCAGACCATTCTTCTCTGATCCTTTGCCTGTCTGCCCACTTGCCTCTTGAGGTTGACATCATGCTGTCTGTCCCAGTCCTTGCTTTGCCTTTTCCTGGTTCCTCTGTGTTTCTTTCTCCCATCTTTGCTGTCAGTGGTAGCAGTGGCTGAATGGAGTGGCTTCCTGGACACATAGCCTCAGCAGGGGCTTACCATGTACCTTCCCACTTGGAAGCCACATCCTAAGACCAGACACCTTCCCAAACTCCTCACCTCAGGGACTAGAAGCTGTGGAAGGAAAGTTCAGAATGGCTGCTCCTTTGCTGTGTCTGCTTATTGCTCTGAAATCCCTAGTTAACCTTTCTGGTCTTTATCCCCTCATACACCCTGTGTTTTTCCAACTCGTTTTTCATTCCCGCCCAAGACTCTGGACGACCTGGAGGAACGAGTGAAAGAGGCTGGAATCGAGATTACTTTCCGCCAGAGTTTTTTCTCAGATCCAGCTGTGCCTGTCAAAAACCTGAAGGTCAGATGGCCGGGAGTGGTGGGGTCTGTTTGCAGAGGGACCAAGCTGGGGGACAGTGGCTGGTTGGAGAGAAAAGCGAGGCGGAGCAGGTTTTGATTCCCCGAGGCAATAACATCTCCTGGGGAAGTTTAGTTAGAAACGTCCATCTTCCAGTTGACGTTTATCCACTACGTGTTGAGCATTACCCTGCACTGAGCACTTAGGGATGGGAAATCAAAGCTGTGAAGGCGCCTGACTTAGCCCCTCAGGCATTCCTCGGCATCCCTGAGGAGCTGTTTCTCTCTCTGTTCTGTAGCGCCAGGATGCCCGAATCATCGTGGGACTCTTCTATGAGACTGAAGCTCGGAAAGTTTTTTGCGAGGTAGAGTTGGATCTGAAGAGGGAGGGACACTGGGTGGGAGCTCCCCTTGGTTTTCTCCTGGGGCCTCCTCTCGGCATCTGTGCCTGAGTTGATAGCATATGATCTGAGGTGACGATTCATAGGATGTCTCTGTCTGTTGGCTCTGACTGCGTTCGTTGTCTGCACACACATGATAGTTTCTTCAGATCTCCTTTTTCTACTGCTTTGTGTTTCCTGAGAAGCCCGTGAATTCCATCTGTCCTGACTGGCTGGAAAAGGCCACTCAGATATACAGGGTCTGGGGAGAAACTTGGAAGAATTGTCAGCCTTTCTTACCATCCCCCAGAATTACGGATTTCTCTTTTTAGTTCTGCTGCTCTTTCCTGATTCCCAAGAGGCTAAATAGTGTCAAGTGAGAAAAGACAAAACAAACAAATGTCCAGCCATCCTCCTCTGTATTCAGGTATACAAGGAGCGTCTCTTTGGGAAGAAGTATGTCTGGTTCCTCATTGGGTGGTATGCTGACAATTGGTTCAAGATCTACGACCCTTCTATCAACTGCACGGTGGATGAGATGACTGAGGCAGTGGAAGGCCACATCACCACTGAGATTGTTATGCTGAATCCTGCCAACACTCGCAGCATTTCTAACATGGTGAGAGTGTGGGGACTTGCAGGCTGGCACCTGGGAGGGTGGAGGGGACTGAAGGAGCCTTGTAGGAGAGAGAGGGCCAGGGAGAGATGTGGAATTTGTATGTAAAGGGGAAGGGGGGAGGGGGCTGTGCCCACCCTGAACTTGTGTGCATTATGTTTCCTATGCATCCTACCTTTGCTCTGACTTCCCTGGACAGGAGAGAGAGAGAGAGAGAAAAAAAAAAAACAAACAAAACGATAGAGTTGTATATTCAGTAGGTTCCTGATTAGTGGAAGGGCTGTTACCATGGAGACGAGGAGCAGTTGGTGAGAAGTCAGAGGAGGAACAGGCGTTAATGATAATATGGACGCTTGTATATGCAAGCACACCTTTACAGGAGCACTGTGTCTGGGCAGAATTGCATTTTATTTTCTTGGTGACTTACGTTAGTATTTCAGAGTTGCTTAATATTCACTCATGATTGATAAGCAATTAGCTTGGATCCTGATGCTTTTTTTAATGATTCTTTTTTTAGAATTTTATGTGGAGAAGGGGCTTTTGAAATCATTTAGCCCCAGACAGCTGGTTAATGACAGACTTGGAGTGAGGAGGCGCATTCTCTGATTTGGGAGGGCTGGGGCAGCCTTGCAGCTGAGGGGCACAAGTGAGTGTGGGTGTGGGCGTAGGGGAGGAGGCATCCTTGTTGCTCAGTACGACATCATAATGAGTAAAGGAATTTGGGGTAAGCTTGATATGGCCACTTATGTGTCTGCTTATAATACTAAGTGTTGCTTATAATACTAAATGTGTACCTGCTTTGGAGAGTGTGCTAGGGTTGAGTTAATGGTTGTAAAGCCTTCTAACGGCTTATTTAAAAATGTTTTAGTAACAGTGGCTTTTATATGGAGCTTCGATTCATGATTTCAGGGATCCTAACAGCAATACTCTGATGTGGACTTATCATTTACATTTTGTAGACCAGGAAATTGAGACTCAGAGTAGTTTGATGACTTGTCCCAGGTCACGCAGCTACTCAGCAGTCCAGCTGGAATTGACTCGTAGTTAAATCTTGACTCCAAACTGCTCTGCCTCATCACTTCCCGTGGAAAAGCATAAAGCCTGACTCTAAAGTTTGTACTTCTATCTGCTAACACTGTTTAGCCACTGGCAGTTGCTGAGCAAAGGAGAAATAAGATTTATGTAGTTGACTCTGGTGATGTGTTGTGATGAAAGATCTATTGCTGCATGGACTCTGATCATACATACTGCTCTGGGACATTCTAAGTGGACTTTATGTTTAAGGTATGTTTGCTGAAAAATACAATGAAAAAATTTTGGAAGGTCGCTTCCCTGTAGAGTACCTGAGAGGTGAATCATCTGTAAAATGTGGGAAAGTAGTGGAGCTGGCTACCAAAGCCAGAAAAAAAAGGCTTGTTGGTGCTCTGAGCCCAGGACCTGCCAGTTGTTGCTTCTGTCCTGTAGCTGGGAGCTAGAGGAGGCTGACAGAAAACAGAGATTTTGCTGGGCCTAGTAAAATACCTCATACCTGTAATCCCATCACTTCAGGAGACCAAAGCAGAAGGATCACTTGAGCCCACGAGTTCAAGACCAGGTTGGGCAGTATAGTGAGATCCCTAGCTCTAAACCAAGAGAGAGAGAACAGAGTTGGTTAGGGACACAGAGGAACACCTGAGCGTTCGGGCAGGAAGACTTGGAAGGTCCCTTTCTGACTCTTAGTCTCTAGAGAAAGATAGTGTCTGCTTTTGAGGCTTTAGGGCTTCTAGTAGCATCAGCCTAAAATGTCAGTGGGGAAGCCAATATTTCCCAAAGAGGATAGAAGCAATCTTAACAGATTAGGGGAGGGAGAGACTACAGATGAATCAGCAGCACCAACAGAAGTGGATCAAAGCAAGGCTTGGACCTAGGGGGCCAGAGCCATGGAGACTTAGAAAAGAAGCAGAGTTGCCTTTATTCCCTAAGGATGGCCTTATGTTTAGATCAGTAGTTCTTAAAGTTGAATGTCCGTCAGAACCACCTGGAAATTTTGATTCAGTAGATCTGGGCTAGGGCCTGAGAATTGACATTTCTAGCAAGTTCCTGAGGACATGGATGCTGTTGGTCTGGAGAATCACACCTCGAGAACTGTTAGGGTAGTGGTTTTTTAAGATGGAGTCTTGCTCTGTCACCAGGCTGGAGTTTAGTGGCTCGGTCTCGGCTCACTACAAACTCCGCCTCCCAGGTTCAGGTGATTCTCCTGCCTCAGCCTCCCGAGTAGCTGGGACCACAGGCAAGTGCCACCATGCCCAGCTAATTTTTGTATTTTTAGTAGAGATGGGTTTTCACCATGTTGGCCAGGATGCTCTTGATCTCTTGACCTTATGATCCACCGAAGTGCTGGGATTACAGGCATGAGCTATGGCAACTGGACAGAGTAGTGGTTTTCAACCAGAGGCTATACTATCTGGAGGCACTTTTGGTTGTTACAGTTGGGGGAAAGGGATGGGGTGGGATACATGCTCCTGATACCTAATGTATAGAAGTCAAAGATGATTCTAAATATCCTGCAGCCTCTGACAACAAAGAATTATCTTGCTCAAAATGTCAATAGTGCAGAGACTGAGAACCCCTGGTTTAGAGAAAACATCTTTAGGGACCCTGTGTAGAAATGGAGAGTGGGCTAGAGTGATTTTAGAGAAATGTAGCTGTGGGCTAGAGTGGAATGTGGGAGGTGGCAGCCTGGATATAAGATTGTGAGTAAATTCTGATTGGGGTAGAGATCCCAATCAGGTCAGATCTAGGACCAGTACAAACTAAAAGCTGCCTTCAGTATATACATTTTAGCTCACTATCAAGCATCCATTCTTGAGAGCAAGACAAGGCTGTTAAAATAATTAGGTATAAAATGCACTTGGTTGATTAACTAATTGTTACGGGTTGAGGGGTCTTTATTGTTCAGATTTCCTTGAGTTACATAGTAAAGTTTCTCTTTGACAATCTATAACTGTATCTTTACTGACTCAAGAGAGCATTGTTTTTTCCTAATTCTACTCATGGGGTGGCGGGAGCAGTGGTGCCCCCAGTGGTTAGGTGTGTTAGTGGTAGTGACCTGGCTTGAGCAGAGAGTATGATAATCTGGGCAGGGGACAACATCACGCTGAGCAGATTAATCCCTTTCCATCTGGGTGATTTTTTGATGCCGTATTTACCTTGAACTGAAGATTGGATAGACCAGTCTTTCAATTTGAAGCCAAAGGACTACTCAGAAAATATTAGCTTAGCTGCTGTTTGTGCAGGTCCTCTTGCAGAGAGGCAAACTCATGTACAGAGACTGTAGGGTGGCTGGTAAGAGTATGGGTTAGCTCTGCTACTCACAAGCAGTATAACTTTTTTTTTTTTTTGAGACGGAGTTTCGCCCTTGTTACCCAGGCTGGAGTGCAATGGCACGATCTCGGCTCACCGCAACCTCCGCCTCCTGGGTTCAAGCAATTCTCCTGCCTCAGCCTCCTGAGTAGCTGGGATTACAGGCACGTGCCACCATGCCCAGCTAATTTTTTGTATCTTTAGTAGAGACGGGGTTTCACCATGTTGACCAGGATGGTCTCGATCTCTTGACCTCGTGATCCACCCGCCTCGGCCTCCCAAAGCGCTGGGATTACAGGTGTGAGCCACCGCGCCCGGCCTAGCAGTATAACTTTTTTAGGCAAGTTATATAACTTTTCTGTGCCTCAGTTTTCTTATCTCTAAAATGGGGATCGTTTGAGGATTAAATAAGGTGATGCAGGTTCCTAAGGAAAATGCTTGATACATACTAAGGACTGCATAAATGTTAGCCATCACCATCATCATCATCATCAACATCATCATTCTGTGTAAGGAAGGATCGATATCAATGAAACATTTCAACCAAAGAGTTAAGAAGACTCAGTGATTTGAGTGTTTAATGTGATTCCAAGGCTTCAATCTCATTTACTGGGAACCGTTTGGGAGTAAGGAAAAATTGAGATTCGTCTTGGATATTTTGATTTCGAGACCATTCATCATTAATTTATAAATGCCTCAGAGTCGGCTAGAAATACGGACTTGAAATCTTGGGCTGAAATTATAGATCTCAGTATCAATAACAAAGATGAGATTGAGAGTCAAGGAAATTCACATAGAGAAAATGTAACTTCATACCCAGCATTTTTATATGTGTTCTTCTTTCTTTCTTTCTTTCTTTCTTGCTCTTTTTTTTTTTTTTTGAGACAGTTTCACTCTGTCGTCAGGCGCCTGGCTGGAGTGCAGTGGCACAATCTCAGCTCACTGCAACCTCCGCCTCCTGGGTTCAGGCAATTCTCCTGCTTCAGCCTCCTGAGTAATTGGGACTACAGGTGCAAGCCACCACGCCCAGCTAATGTTTTGTATTTTTAGTAGTGAAGGGGTTTCACCATGTTGACCAAGATGATATCGATCTCTTGACCTCGTGATCCACCTGCCTCGGCCTCCCAAAGGGCTGGGATTACAGGCTTGCGCTACCGTGCCCAGCTCAAGTAGAATAATTAAAATATAAATTCATCCATTTATCTACCCAATAGACATTTTTTTTTCCCCCAAGACAAAGTATCCCTTTGTTGCCCAGGCAGGAGTGCAGTGGTGCAATCACTGCAGCCTTGATCTTCTGGGCCATCCACCCATCTCAGCCCCTCCTCAGTAGGCTGGAATCACAGGTATATGCCACTAAGTCTGGCTAATTTTTTTTTTTTTTCTCTTTAGATGGAGTCTGGCTCTGTTGCCCAGGCTGGAGTGCAATGATGCTATCTCTGCTCACTGCAACCTCTGCCTCCTGGGTTCAAGTTATTCTCCTGCCTCAGTCTTCCCAGTAGCTGGGATTACAGGTGTGCATCACCACACCTGGCTAATTTTTTGTATTTTTAGTAGAGACAGGGTTTCACCATTTGGCCAGGCTGATCTCGAACTCCTGGCCTCGTGGTCTGCATACCTCAGCTTCCCAAAGTGCTGGGATTACAGGCGTGAGCCACCATGCCTGGCCAAGTCTGGCTAATTTTTAAAAAACGTTTTGTAGAGTTGGGTCCTCTCTGTATTGCTGAGTCTAGTCTCAAATTCCGGTGCTCAAGCAACCCTCCTGCCTTGGCCTCCGAAAGTGTTTGGATTACAGGCATGACCCATCTGCACCTGCTGATTTTTTTTTTTTTTTTTTTTTTTTTTTTTTTAAATTGGAGAGGGAGTCTTGCTCTTGTCGCCAGGCTGTAGCGCAGTGGCGTGATCTTGGCTCACTGCAACCTCTGCCTCCCAGGTTCAAATGATTCTCCTGCCTCAGCCTCCTGAGTAGCTGGGACTATAGGCCCGTGCCACCATGCCTGGCTAATTTTTATGTTTTTAGTAGAGACAGTTTCACCATGTTGGCCAGGATGGTCTTGATCTCTTTACCTCATGATCTGCCTGCCTCAGCCTCCCAGAGTTCTGGGATTATAGGCATGAGCCACTGTACACAGCCTTTTTTTTTTCCTTTTTTTTTTTTTTTTGAAACAGAGTTTCACTCTTGTTACCCAGGCTGGAGTGCAATGGCGTGATCTCGGCTCACCACAACCTCCGCCTCCTGGGTTCAGGCAATTCTCCTGCCTCAGCCTCCTGAGTAGCTGGGATTACGGGCACGCACCACCATGCCCAGCTAATTTTTTTGGATTTTTTAGTAGAGACGGGGTTTCACCATGTTGACCAGGATGGTCTCCATCTCTTGACCTCGTGATCCACTCGCTTCGGCCTCCCAAAGTGCTGGGATTACAGGCTTGAGCCACCGCGCCCGACCTTTTTTTTTTTTTTTTTTTTTTTTTGAGACGGATCTCGCTCTGTTGCCCATGCTAGAATGCAGTGGTGCCATCTCAGCTCACTGTAACCTTCACCTCCTGGGTTGAAGCGATTCTTTTGCCTCAGGCGCTCAGCCTCCCGAGTAGTTGGGACTGCAAACGCGCACCACTATGCCTGGCTAATATTTTGTATTTTAATAGAGATTGAGTTTCACCATCTTGCCCAGCTGGTCTTGTGTCGAACTCCTGACCTCAGGCAGTCTGCCCACCTCAGCCTCCCAAAGTGCTAGGATTACAGACATGAGTCACTATGCATGGCTTTTTTTTTTTTTTTTTTTTTGAGTAGTTTTAATTTCACAGCAGAATTGAGATGAAGGTACAGATACTTCCCATATACTCCCCGCGTGCATAGCCTTCCACGTTATCAACATCCTCCACCAGAGTGGTGCATTTGTTAACTGATGAACTTACACTGATACATCATAATCACCCAAAGTCCATAGTTTACATTAGAGTTTACCCTTGGTGTTATATATTCTATGGGTTTGGACAAATTTCTAATGACACGTATCTATTGTTAAATACTTTACAGAGCATTTTCACTGGCCTAATCCAATGGACATTTATTGTTCCTTCATTATGGTTGGGCACAGTGCTAGATGCTGATGATTAAGAGAGGGCATGGGGTTGGCCGGGCACTGGTGGCTCAAGCCTGTAATCCCAGCACTTTGGGAGGCCAAGGCGGGTGGATCACGAGGTCGAGAGATCGAGACCATCCTGGTCAACATGGTGAAACCCCGTCTCTACTAAAAATACAAAAAATTAGCTGGGCATGGTAGCGTGTGCCTGTAATCCCAGCTACTCAGGAGGCTGAGGCAGGAGAATTGCCTGAACCCAGGAGGCGGAGGTTGCGGTGAGCCGAGATCGTGCCATTGCACTCCAGCCTGGGTAACAAGAGTGAAACTCCATCTCAAAAAAAAAAAAAAAAAAAAAAAAAGTGAAAAAAAAAAAGAGAGGGCATGGGGTTTGGTCTTGTCCTCAAGGGTAGAAGTAGAAGTAGAAGTGTTTGAGCCAGAATTGGATTGCACCCCTTCCCTGCACCCACGCACATTTCAGTTCTTTCCTCATTGCATCTTCAAAGCCCAGGCTGCTTCAAAGCCCAGCGTAGTAGCCACTGCACTACACTGCCAGTGCTCTTTGTATATCTCACTTCTCCATCTCTCTCGAAAGCTGGAGAGAAAAGTGGGTAAGGCTTGAGAAACAAAGTTACTTATTTATTCTTCATTCTTCTATTTATTCTTTTATTAGAGTGTGTCTTAATACATTCCAAACCCAAACAATTATTTGTATGTCTCCTGTGTATTACTTGTGCTTTTCCAAGAAGTAGTTGCTAAGCCTTTTTATGTATGGTTTCTGGGAGGTAAGGAAGGAATGGTTTGATTTTCTCCAATATGTAGAATGCAATTCCAAGAGATTAAATAATTTACCTACAGTTATTTAGCCAAACAAGATTACTGCAAGGTATACAAAGTCAGGTCTCCTGACCCAGTTCATGAGAGAGTTAAAGGAACTATCATTCTTTTTAGCTTCCTTGGAAAAAGAAGGTTGAGTGTTAGGAGGGGTGTGGGTAGGATTGAGTAATGGACTTAAAAAATGTGAAGGATATTTCTGTAGTTTTCGGTCTTCTGAAAACCCTCTAAGAGGCAGTGAACTGAAAGCACACAAGAATGGCAAGAAGTTAGCACACTGAAGAGAAATCCTCCTGGTTGGCAGGCAGAGTGAGAAGACTGTACTGTCATCTTTTCTAGGATCTTTCAGAATTGTAGGAGCTGTGAGATCCTGGGTTAACTCTGTTAAGAAAGTCAGAAGGATCAGTAAACATCAATGTCACAGCTCTTCATTGGAATATCCATATCTCCTCCTTTACTCTAGCTCTACCTTCCATCCTTTGCCACTCATTATCCGAAGTGTTTATTTGTCAAATTTGTCTGTTTGTAGTTCTGAGCTAGCGGTTACAGACGCTAAGACCATCGGACACAGCTAATCCCTGCTCTAGTCAGTAGCTTCTGATCTAAGACAGACACATGGATATAGTTAAAGATTTTGAATGTACATATGCTCGATCTGACAACGGGAACACAAACCATCCATTCAAGTAGAGGTGTTTGAGCCAGAATTGGATTGCACCCCTTCCCTGCACCCACGCACATTTCAGTTCTTTCCTCATGATTTTTTCCTCCCAAGACATCCCAGGAATTTGTGGAAAAACTAACCAAGCGACTGAAAAGACACCCTGAGGAGACAGGAGGCTTCCAGGAGGCACCGCTGGCCTACGATGCCATCTGGGCCTTGGCATTGGCCCTGAACAAGACATCTGGAGGAGGCGGCCGTTCTGGCGTGCGCCTGGAGGACTTCAACTACAACAACCAGACCATTACCGATCAAATCTACCGGGCAATGAACTCCTCGTCCTTTGAGGGTGTCTCTGTGAGTTACAACAACTTCCTTGATACTCCTCTGTCTCCCCAATCTCGAGAGAGACTACCAAGAGGCACCTTCTGCAAAGATACATTCTTGGTTTTTCTCCGTTAACTTCTTTTCAATGATCAGTCTCCAGCCAGAGAAGTAGGGATCTTCAAATTAGAAAAACCCATCAAAGACTAGAGGGAAAATAAATGATGTATTCCAGTTTTTTAAACTCCTTCCCTTGTTTCTTTTCAAACTAGTCCAAGTATTCATGAGTCAGATAATGGTAGGATTTTGAAAGACAAAACAGTCTGAAAGATCATCTCCTTATTCATTTTAAAATGAAAAGATTAGTTTCCAGAGAGATTTGCTGACTTGCTTAGGCCACACAACCAGAAGCCCGCTGGTGTTCTGTCTGTGCAGGCCGGGTGCAGTGGCTCACACCCATTCAAATCTCATGAGTGAAGCTCCTTGTCCAAAGAATACTGTTTCTAAAATCTAGGGTATGGGCATCTGGGGTATGTCCTATATGCAGGCAAATGCCATAAATAGCATTCATTCAGAGGCTCAGTTACATCAAAAACAGAAAGATTTAAAGAGTCCCTGATGTTCTCTTTCAATCCTGCTTTTGTCCCCTTTGCCTTCCTCTACATGTTCCTTCCGTCAGGGCCATGTGGTGTTTGATGCCAGCGGCTCTCGGATGGCATGGACACTTATCGAGCAGCTGCAGGGTGAGTACAGGGGCAGGAGGGGACCGGACATGGGGGCCAGGCAGGGGTGGGGCTGGGATGCCACCTGGGGAAGAATGCCGGAGACATCACAGGATTGCCCTGACACCTCTCCACTTCTGCCCTTCTCTTTTAACTCTGCTCATCAAGCTTGTAAATAATAAAAAGCTTAACTACAAGAAAATCGATGCCTTTGAGTTGCACTGGTTTTGCTCTTGAAAAGAGGCTTGCCCTTGTGCAGGCCGGGTGCAGTGGCTCACACCTGTAATCCCAGCACTTTGGGAGGCCGAGGCAGGCGGATCACAAGGTCAGGAGTTTGAGACCAACCTGGCCAACATAGTGAAACCCTGTTTCTACCAAAAATAGCAAAAAATTTAGCTGGGCATGGTGGCAGGTGCCTGTAGTCCCACCTACTTGGGAGGATGGGGCAGACGAATCGCTTGAACCTGGGAGGCGGAGGTTGCAGTGAGCCAAGATCATGCCACCGCACTGCAGCCTGGGTGTCAGAGTGAGACTCTGTCTGAAAAAAAAAAAAAAAAAAAAAAGGGAAAAAGAAAAGAGGCATGCAAAATGCAGATTAAAAACAGCTATTCTCTCTCGCAGTGGCTTTCATTTTAATTTCAGGAATTTCCCCTGGTGTGACTTGGGTTGAGAGGTTGATTACCTGTCAGTTAAACTCAAGAAAGCTGAATCCAGGAGAATTGCTATTTTTTTTTAAGGGAATCCATCAAGTTTCCTTGCTATATAAACTATCATTTCTAATCTATCTTCAGTGTGTATAACTTGGCTTTTGTAGATTGTATTTTCTTGCAGCTTAGCACACTTATATATTTGCAGAACCTCTAGGAGTTAATTTTTCTACTCCACTCCACTCTCAGTCTTTTACAGCATGGCCAAGAGAGCTATTTCTTGGCCTCCTGTGAAAAGTTTCTTTCTTCCTTTCTCCCCACCTCCACATCCTCTCAGCTCCTCTTTGTATCCAGGACAAGAGGAAATGGACTTCAGCCACAATGAAAGGAGCGTGAGTTGGCTTTTGAAGGAAAAGTTATGGTGACAGAAACAGTTCTAGAACAGAAATCTTAGAAGTGACCAAATTTTACTTAATGGCTCTTTAAGAGGCAGATATGACTTATCCAAGGAATTAAAACCCAAGCCAATGGAAGAGAATGTTCTAAAATTAAAATAAAAGCCACTGGGAAAATAGAGCCTGCCCATCATGAGAGGGAGAATAAGCAGAAATATGTGTAAAGCTTTAGAAGCCAAAATCAAAGTGAGAGACATCTAGCCGAGAGAGGTGTGAGGAATGGAATAGGTGGCAGACATGTTGGGGAGCCTCTTCACTGAAGACTTTTAAACATAGATATTCTTATTTACTTGAGTTGCCTTGGGAACCATCCTTATATTGCTTTTAAGTCATGTTGCTGATTCAAGCGACCTGTAGGTCCTTCCAAGCATCCTTTAGGGGCTCAGGTGAAAATAAAATCAGATGCAGCCATGGAAAGCTCTAGGGAAGTTGGAAGCTGAAAATGCCTGGGTCAGCTCTTTGGCTTCCTGTGGTCACTCGTTTGATTGTCATCTGCCCAGGTGGCAGCTACAAGAAGATTGGCTATTATGACAGCACCAAGGATGATCTTTCCTGGTCCAAAACAGATAAGTGGATTGGTGAGTGGATCTTGTTTGTATTTTCCTTCAGCCCCTCTGGACAATCAAGGAAAATAGTCATGTATTTGAGGATGGGATGGTGGAGACCGTTAGGCTGGAATGTGGCTGGCAGCTGGGCCAGGAGAAAGGGTTAAGTAAGAGTGAATACAACCCCTAAGGCGTGGGTAGGGGAGCCTGGTGTATTTGGAAAGGGAATAGGCGGTGGTTAGTACTATTTTTAGTAGCACATTGCTGGGGTAACTGGGGATTAGAGGCAGGGGGTGGACAGAGGGCGGGAAATGGAAACTCCATTTGGGTTTCCCAGATGTCCTGGTGTCTTGATATATTTGAACCAGCTACTTCAAGCCCAGAGCTGTCTCTTTGTCTGTCTCTGTCAAGAAGACGGTTGCTTAAACCTTGGAGGAGGAGGGAAAACCTCATGCATTTGTCATCTGCTAAAATGTGCTTTTTATTTTTATATGTATTTTTATGTAATTTGGAGGTACACGTGCAGTTGTGTTACATGAATATATTGCACAGTGGTGAAGCCATGCTTTTAGTACGCCTGTCACTGGAATAGTGTACAATGTACCTAATAGGTAGTATTTCATCTCTCAAAATAATACTTTTTAAAGAGGGAAAGTAAGCAGTTATTCTTTGTGTACCTGGTGGCCTACATGATAGGACAGAGGAGAGAAACTGAAGGTGGACAAAAGGAAGGACCTACTGATGAAAGAGAGCCTCCTTGACAATGAAGGGGAGGCCCAGCCATTGAAGAGAGCAGCCATCTGCCCTGCCCAGCGGAAATCTAGTTATTCCCAGCACTGCTGGAGTTTTGCACTTTTTTTTTTAATAATTTGAATTTAGGACAGTGTTCTGGATTGCTATAAATGCTGCATGGCCTAAATTATTCTCTAAAAAAAAAAAACTAAGCAAATTGAAATTATTTTTTTTAGTGAATTCTGACAAATTTGAACTTCCCCTTAATAATAACTGGAAAGCACCATTGGGTATATCACCCTGTCAGGATTAAAATCTCAGATTAGTTTTTTTTTCTTAAGATTAAGTGTCCACCCTAGATACTTCAAGGCCTCTTTAGTTTTATGATTCCATAATTGTCATTTGAAACTTTGATCTGGGTTATAAGAGATAAGAGATCTTATAACATTTTTTGGTTATCCCTTTTCTTTTTCTTCCCATTTTCCTTTGCTATAAGAAAGACAGAAAAACTTAAAAACAAAGACTACAACTTTGGTGACATGCTTCAGCATTTCCCAAGCTATGGAGAGACCATTGACTCACATCTTCTCATCTCATTTCTGTTTGCTTCCTGAGGGCCCCAGTGGCACTGAGCATTCTGCCTGCAGTCACCTCTGTTAGGGTCTCATAGCCCCAGCCAAAGACTGAATGTCGATCAGCAATCTAGTTCTTTGCCCTTTTCTCCTATCCCAGTCTTCATTTCTTTGTCCTCCTTCCTTTCTTTTTTCCCTTCCCCTCTTTTTCCCCTGTGCCATGCAGGAGGGTCCCCCCCAGCTGACCAGACCCTGGTCATCAAGACATTCCGCTTCCTGTCACAGAAACTCTTTATCTCCGTCTCAGTTCTCTCCAGCCTGGGCATTGTCCTAGCTGTTGTCTGTCTGTCCTTTAACATCTACAACTCACATGTCCGGTAAGTGTCTCTTCTGACATTTTCCTTGTCTGCCTCTCCGAGATACTGATCATGTTCCTGGACAGGATGGGAATGAAACCTGTATAGCTCCCATGGCCACGTATCATGAGTTTTTCATTCTGACTTATTGAGAGTGAAAATGGGGAAACCAGATATAACCCCCACACCTGCCCCAAAGTAGCTAACTGGAAGAAAAAAAGAAAAGAGAAAAAAACCACTTTGGGGCCAGGTCTTACTCTTGGACTCTACATAAATAGACTTTATTCTAGTGGGGGCCCTGTGCTCCAGAAGGCATCTGTAACCCAACCTTCAGCCCCATGAATGCATTGCTTTGCCTCTCAAGGCTCTACTATCTTCTCCAATCCTGTCTTCCTTTAGCCCCTGGCCCTGAAAAATTGGGGTCATGCTGTTGCATGGCATTTGAAGAGCTAAGCCTCCCTGGAGAAGAAGGGTAATTCTCTCTCTCTCTCACTCTCTCCACCCCTGCCCTAGTTATATCCAGAACTCACAGCCCAACCTGAACAACCTGACTGCTGTGGGCTGCTCACTGGCATTAGCTGCTGTCTTCCCTCTTGGGCTGGATGGTTACCACATTGGGAGGAACCAGTTCCCTTTCGTCTGCCAGGTGAGGAGGTGGTGGGCAAATTCCTCACAGAATATGGCTCTCCCACCCATCTCAGGAGTGCCTCCAGTGATTTATGGTTCTCTGCCTTTCCTCCTCAGCCTTCCGTGACTCCTGTCCCTGTTTTTTGCTTGTAACATCACTCCTCTGGCCTCTGTTTGGCTCTGTCCCTTCTTTCTGTGCCTCCAGGTCATTTTCATTCTGTAGTTTACTTGTGAGTTCCAAGGTTGCCATGGTAGGCCTTGCAGAGAAGAGGAGGGAGACACTGAAGACAAAGGAAGGGGGTCTGCCCAAAGGTCTCCTGAACAATGATGGCTTGTCTATGGTGTGCTGGCTGAGAATCAGAATTGCGGACTTCCCAGGGAGCCTCTGTTGGGTTTGGAAGGATGGAGGCATACATTGAAACAGACAGCAGAGAGAGTTGGGGGGAAGGGACCCCTGCAACATAGGGAGGAGAGTCTCTGGGACTCTACATGGAAGGTTGTAGCACTATGGGGAGAGCCAGCTTCAACAGTGATAACTGAGTGGTTTTCTGTTCCACTGGTGGAACCATCCACTCTTTCTCCTGATCTGCCTGTCCTTGCTCTCTCTCTTTCCTCTGCTCTGTGCTGTCCCGATCATACATCTGTGCACATGGCATTTGCACATGCAGTTCATCAGGAATCCTCTGCTCCCAGTGAGGCCAGAGTGCAGCTGGAGAGGCAGATAATTAGCTGCAGTGCAGTAGAAGAGGCTCCATAGTAGGGATCTGCACAAAGTACTTTGGGGGCAAAGAAGGGAACACAGCTAACGGTTGGCATGATTGGGTGGACTGCACTGTAGAGGTGGCCTTTGAATACTGAAGGACAAATAGGATTTTATCAGCTAGAGAAATAGAGGAAGGCTACTCCGGGGGCATAGGAAGCATCATGTGGCTAGAAAATACATGAAAAGAGAGTAGATCAAGAGAAAGTGAGTAGTTCAGCATGGCTGGAGAGTGGGGTGGATGCGGGGCTGGGAGATGAGTCTGGCCAGGTGGGTGAGAGCATGTTGTGAAGGGTCTGTAGCACATCCAGAGGTGTTCAGGCTGTAACTTATAAATACTCAGGAGTGGTAGGGGGTTTTTGTCCAGTAAAGCCAGGATGTTAGCAAGATCACCCTGGTAGTGTGGAAGTAGAGGGTGGATGAGAGGAATTGTTCAAGGTGGGGAGGCTGCCCTCCTCCTGCTTTTCCCCGTCCTATTCACATTTCCCCATCCTCCCAATGTCATCATGTGCTCCCTGCCCACACTCCCTTAGGGTTCTGCCCATCCTTACTTCAGTCCTGGCTACTACCCTACCCTATTCTGCCTGTGCCGGTTCTTGTTTTCTAGGCCCGCCTCTGGCTCCTGGGCCTGGGCTTTAGTCTGGGCTATGGCTCCATGTTCACCAAGATTTGGTGGGTCCACACGGTGTTCACAAAGAAGGAAGAAAAGAAGGAGTGGAGGAAGGTGAGCTGCTGCCCAATCCTCAGTCCCCAAATCCTTGGCTCCTGGGGCACAAAGCATTTTCCCCCGATGTGCCTGTGCTCCCCACATATTTATCCAGACTCTGGAGCCCTGGAAGCTGTATGCCACCGTGGGCCTGCTGGTGGGCATGGATGTCCTCACTCTCGCCATCTGGCAGATCGTGGACCCTTTGCACCGGACCATTGAGGTACTGCTGGAGAGAAGGTGCTGCGGTCAGGAGAATGAGCAGGGCTTACAGGCCATTAGGGCCCCAGGGCTGTGTGTGGTCTTGACGGATGAAGCTACTTGGTGAGAGTGCCTTCCTCATATTGGACGCTCTTCCTCTCCTTCCTGGAAGGAGCCTCTTGTAGGCCTCCAGATTCAACTGAAGAAAGAAAGGGGTAGGGATCTGGGAAGGGTGTGTTGAATTTTCAGGCATCAGGGAAAGTGGGGAACAAGTACCTCCAAAGGTTCAGGAAAACATTTCCAGGCCTAGAGTGAGATTTGGCATCAGTATTGAGGATCTCAAAGGAAAACAGTTGGAAGCCAGAGACTGAGAAGCATTGAGGAGAGGAAGGGAGGCTGGCAACCATCTTTCTTGTGACCCTCTTTCTATCCTAGACATTTGCCAAGGAGGAACCAAAGGAAGATATCGACGTCTCTATTCTGCCCCAGCTGGAGCACTGCAGCTCCAGGAAGATGAATACATGGCTTGGTGTGTGGGCTGTGGGCAAAGGAGGGCAGGGACACAGAAAGGCAGGAGGGAGGGCAGGGGCAGAGGGCTCGGAGGGTGAGGGTCTTTGGAGGAGGAGGTAGAGAGCTTGTCAACCCAGTTTGAACACCTCACTCTTTGCACTAATCTTTTCCAAGAACAGGGGAGAGTTGCTCTTTTGCTATGAGGAGCTTAGGGCCCAAAGCAGAGGTGAAGAGCTTGTGTTCAGCAGAGGGACAAGTTGGGGTAACCTCACCTCCAGACTTGATGTTATCTTTTAGATCCCCCTTGGCCTTATGAACATTGCTCTGATTCATGGTCACAAATGGCAAATTTACCCTTTGCCTGGAAAGCCACCTTCCCACCTGGTGGGTAAGGGTGAGGCATGTGTGGCCCAGACTGGCCTATTTTTAGATATTCAACAACCTCTTTCCTTACTGACAGCAACTCACCACCATTGCCTTACTGTGTGAATCCCAGGAGGAAGTGACGCGGTCTGGGCAAGTTAGGAGAACATAGCGGGTAGGGGACACAGGGTGAGGCTTGCTCACCCTGTGAGCAAGGGGCCGGATTGGAGAGGGGGCCCCCTTTCCATTGTGGAGTAGGTGAAGGGCAGAGAGAGGATGGGGATAGAGTGAGGAGCATTGTGGTCCTTGTTGCTCACGTGACTCTCTCCTGCCATCCTAGGCATTTTCTATGGTTACAAGGGGCTGTTGCTGCTGCTGGGAATCTTTCTTGCTTACGAGACTAAGAGTGTGTCTACTGAGAAGATCAACGATCACCGGGCCGTGGGCATGGCTATCTACAATGTGGCAGTGAGCATTGACCCCATGGCATTGACTCTGTGGGCTGACTACTGCAGCCCAGATGTGGTAGACTAGGAAGAATCAGTGCTAGATGTGGGATCGGTTGCTTAGAAGTCTTAAAAAGTTTGTTTAATCTGCAGGTTTATAAAGCACTTTACAGTTTACAAAGCCCGCTACAGACAGTGTCTCATTAATCTTCTTGCAACTACCCAGTGAAGTAGGTATTAGTATCCCTGCTTCATAGGTGAGGAAACAGAAACACAGAGAAGTTTCACTTGTCTGTGGTTTATAGGGTGGACTCTGTTGACAGTTCCTGCCAGGGATCCTCAGGGACTGACTCTGGAGGACCTAGAATGTGTGCATAGAGATCCTGGGAGTTCCTGCCTTGAGGCGGCGGAGGTGGGGGGTTTGTTAACCAAGAGTGGAGACTGGTTTGGGACAGCTTGGGATTTTTCTCAATCTGTATTCGAGGAGGATCCTGAATTTGGATCCTTTTCAAAGGGAAAGTTCACCAGGAAACTGTCTGCATAGGTTTCCTCCTTTGGGAAGTAAACTCTGGATCTTGTTTGAGCTTGCAGACCTGAGAGTCCCTCATGTGTCTTTCCCTCTAGGTCCTGTGCCTCATCACCGCCCCTGTCACCATGATTCTGTCCAGCCAGCAGGATGCAGCCTTTGCCTTTGCCTCTCTTGCCATAGTTTTCTCCTCCTATATTACTCTTGTTGTGCTCTTTGTGCCCAAGGTGAGGTTCTGGCTTTTCTCCCATCCTCTCTAGTCTCCTGTTCCCTCCATCCCTCCATCCCATAGTACTTAGTTCCTCTGCCCTTCTGTTCACTCCCTTCCTCTCACTCCTCCCATTGTGTTGGGCCCAACTTTCTTATCAGCATTCCTCCCACCTCCAACTTTCCCTGCTGGGCCACGCCATGCCCAAACATTTGCCCCCAGATGCGCAGGCTGATCACCCGAGGGGAATGGCAGTCAGAGGCGCAGGACACCATGAAGACAGGGTCATCGACCAACAACAACGAGGAGGAGAAGTCCCGGCTGCTGGAGAAGGAGAACCGTGAACTGGAAAAGATCATTGCTGAGGTGCGGCGGAGGGGTGATGGCAGGATGGGGTGGTGGCGTCCAGGAGGCTTGTGTCTTAGGTAGGGTTGTCTGAAGCGAAGCCTGAGATACAGGGTCAGATGTTCTTGCTTCATAGAGGGAGGGACCTAGGAGACAACCTGTAAGGAGTGAGTGGGGCAGGACCGGAGAGGGGAAAGGGCTGAGCAAGATTCTGTCTTAGATAAAATCCAGTGTTGGCCTGGCAGGTGGAGGGGCTCTGGAGTGGGACCTATGTGGCTGACTCGGCCCCCTTAAGGCAGGAGGATGGTTGTTGACTGTGGCTGGCAACTGGGGAGAGGCAGCTGTGAGCCTCTAGCAGTCAACACTCACAGCAGCTGGGTGTCGCATGCAGCCCCAGCATAAAGGACCTGGGCAGGCGTTCACTATGCCCCAGGCTGTCATTAGGGGCTGGTGCAATGCCAAAGAGAGGGATGTTCCAACTGGGTTGACACAAATCTCTGTGATTTATTGGAAGCTGTGTGCACTGACTTTTCTCTCCTTCCCCACTTTTTCCTTTTGTTTTTAAATTCTATTTCCCTAATCTTTTTTTTTTCCTATTGGTATCCCCATTGTGTTCTCTGGCCTTTCTTGTTCTGTTTTGATTTCTCCTTTTAATTTCTTCTGTCCACTTACCCTTTGCCCTCCCCTGACATTTTTCTGCGCCCTTCCTCTCTTTCCCTCCTCCCCACCGCTTCATGACCTCCTCTTCCACCATCCCAACTGTGCTTCTTCCTCCAGAAAGAGGAGCGTGTTTCTGAACTGCGCCATCAACTCCAGTCTCGGCAGCAGCTCCGCTCCCGGCGCCACCCACCAACACCCCCGGACCCCTCTGGGGGCTTGCCCAGGGGACCCCCTGAGCCCCCCGACCGGCTTAGCTGTGATGGTAGTCGAGTGCATTTGCTTTATAAGTGAGGGCAGGGTGAAGGGGGACAGGCCAGTAGGGGGAGGGAAAGGGAGAGGGGAAGGGCAGGGGACTCAGGAAGCAGGGGGTCCCCATCCCCAGCTAGGAAGAACATGCTATCCAATCTCATCTCTTGTAAATACATGTCCCTCTGTGAGTCCTGGGCTGATTTGGGTCTCTCATACCTCTGGGAAACAGACCTTTTTCTCTCTTAACTGCTTCATGTAATTTTGTATCACCTCTTCACCATTAAGTTTGTACCTGGCTTGAAGCTGCTCACGTGCTGCCTCCTCAGCAGCCTCACTGCATCTTTCTCTTCACATCCAACACCCTCTTCTAGTTACCACGGCAACCCCTGCAGCTCCTCTGCCTTTGTGCTCTGTTCTTGTCCAGCAGGGGTCTCCCCACAAGTGCTCTTTCCACCCCAAAGGGGCCTCTCCTTTTCTCCTCTGTCAATCTCTTTTCATCTTACTTGCCATTCCACACTTTCCTGTGTTTGGCTCCCCGTGAATTTTGCTTCCTTTGGGGGCTCATTCATTTCGCCAAGGCTCACATGCTCCTTGCCTCTGCTCTTTGTGCACTCAACGCTCAGCACACATGCATCCTTCCCTCCCCTGCGTGTGCCCACTGAACATGCTCATGTGCACGCGTGCTTTTCCCATGTGCTTTCTTCATGTTCAGTCACATGTACATTTACAGCTACGTGTGCCGCTCTCATGGTCATGGGTCTGCCTTTGAGTGTGTTTGGGTAGGCATGTGCAATTTGTTTAGCATGCTGAGTCATGTCTTTCCTGTTTGCACACATTTCCCTGTGTACCCTCCATGTACCTTGTGTACCTTCTTCCCTTAAATCATGGTATTCTTCCAACAGAGCCATACGCACCCTACCCTGCACATTGTATCCCCTCTACTCATTGCAGCCTCTGTTTCTGCTCCGACTTCCCCCATCTCCATTGTATTCATGTACTACCCTCAGTCCACACTCACAGTCGACTTCTCCCAAGACTGTTCCCTTTTTTGTGTGTGTATGTGTGTGTGTGTGTGTGTGTGTGTGTGTGTGTGTGTGTTTGAGGGAAATTAAGGAAAAAGAAATGGGGGCAGGTTTGGAGAGCTGCTTCCAGTGGATAGTTGAGAATCCTGACCAAAGGAAGGCACCCTTGACTGTTGGGATAGACAGATGGACCTATGGGGCGGGAGGTGGCGTCCCTTTCACACTGTGGTGTCTGTTGGGGAAGGATCTCCCCGAATCTCAATAAACCAGTGAACAGTGTGACTCGGCACCTCGCACTCTTCCTGTGAACAGAATGGGCTTCAGTCCAAGGAGGGAGGCTCAGAGGACTTCAAGTTCATGAAAGGCATTGAAGCGGACAGTGAAAAGAGGTGTTTTACTGATCCATTGAAGGCTTAGCAGAATGAAGCAGGACGTGTTTAAGTCTGAGATTAGTGATTGAGGACACTGATGGTTAAAAGTGTGGGTTCTGGAGTCAGGCTGCCAGGGCATCATATCCAAACATGTGCAAAAACGTTTCTTAGTCTCTACTCTCCAATTCCTCATTTATAAAAATGAGAATGGATTACACCTGTAATCCCAGCACTTTAGGAGGCCGAGGTGGATGGAGCACAGGGTCAGGAGTTCAAGACCAGCCTGACCAATATGGTGAAACCCCGTCTCCACTAAAAATACAAAAATTAGCTGAGTGTGGTGGTGTGTGCCTGTAGTCCCAGCTACTCTGGAGGCTGAGGCAGGAGAATTGCTTGAACCCGGGAGGCAGAGGTTACAGTGAGCCGAGATCGTGATACTGCACTCCAACCCCAGGTGACAGAGCAACACTCTGTCTCCAAAGAAAAAAAAAAAAAGAAAAAATGAGAATAACAATAATAATACATTCCTCCATAGGGTGGGTACAAAGACTGTGTGCATTCAGGTGCCTAGGGTGGCTCTTGGACCATGGTGTATGTGGCGTGAATGTTAGCCTCTGTCCTTGCTGTTTAATGAGTTCCTTGATGGTAGTGGGCATGTATTGGGAGTCTGGAGCAAGTGCCTGAGCAGACGTGAGGACGCTTCTCCCCAGGAACTAAGAATAATGAAAGAATGATGACTGCTAGACAGTAATGGATGAGATGGCTACTGAGTGCTTCCACCCTTAAACAGCTTAGTTTAGGAACTCTGAGCATCTTGGAAAGAATTTGCTATCAAAATGAAGAAAAATTTTTGAATGGACAAGGGCAAAAACACTTGCCTGAGACTTTAAAAAATTTTTGTGTCCTCTAGGAGAAGTGCTTTTCTGAAGCTCAGCTTTTCTCTTTTACTTTGGCACTGATTTTTAAAGTGATTCTCAGATTTTTGTAAAAGAGCTGAGGGTTGGATGGGCCCTGTCATTCATTGACTATTAAGAACCAATTTCTGAACTTCCACTAGAGCAAGGGCTGGTTGAATCTTAGACCAGTACTTGAAAAACATTCCACTGTGATTATCCACTGTGGACCAGTTGGACTTAAAATTTGAGTCTTCTTCCCACAGTGGAGTATTCTCTAAGAAAAGAGAAGACGCCTATGGAGTAGATAAGCCTGCAGTGTGGAAAATGAATAGTTGGCATCAGAAACAGCAGCAGGAGGCCGGGCATGGTGGCTCACGCCTGTAATCCCAGCACTTTGGGAGGCCGAAGTGGGCAGATTACTTGAGGTCAGGAGTTCGAGACCAGCCTGGCTAACAGCAAAACCCTGTTTTTACTAAAAATACAAAAATGAGCCTAGCATAGTGGTGGGTGCCTGTAATCCCAGCTACTGAGGAGGCTGAGGCAGAGAATTGCTTGAACCTGTAGTCCACCTCCACGGTTGCAGTGAGCCGACGTTGCACCATTAAACTCCAGCTTGGGCGACAGATAAACACTGTCACTCTGGGTGTGGCGGTGGGCACCTGTAGTCTCAGTTACTCAGGAGGCTGGGGCAGAGAATTGCTTGAACTTGGGAGGTGGAGGTTGTAGTGAACTGAGATCGCACCACTGCACTCCAGGCTGTGTGACAGCAAGACTCTGTCTCAAAAAAAAAAAAAAAAAAGAAAAGAAAAACAGTAGCAGAAGCTATAGAGCAGACCTGGGTAGAACCTAAAATACCCCAATAATTATCTCAAACTTATATTGCACTTAGGTGGGCTGTAAATCATAAACAAAGGCTGAAAAATTCTACAATGGCCAAGCATGAGCCAGTTACTCTGTTAGCAGGAGTCACGCCAAACGGTGGGACTAGCAGAGTGCCCAGGGCAAAGGACTGGGAAGGAGTGAGATTGAGGATATTATAAAGTAACTTAGAAGAGAACTTGTTAAGATTTTTACTGACCAAATTTAAAGCATGACTGAGCACTGTTTTCATACAGGCCTACTAATAAGAAAAACAATTTTGAGATAACTGCTTGTTTGAGTTCACAGTTAATGTTTCTGCTTGCAGGTGGGCATATTGGCTCACACCTGTAATCTCGGCACTTTGGGAGACCAAAGCGGGCGGATCACCTGAGGTCGGGAGTTGAGGCCAGCTTGACCAACATGGAGAAACTGTGTCACTACTTAAAATAAAAATTAGCTGGTTGTGGTTGGTGCATGCCTGTAATCCCAGCTACTGGGGAGGCTGAGGTAGGAGAATCGCTTGAACCTGTGAGGCAGAGGTTGTGGTGAGCCAAGATTGCACCATTGCACTCCAGCCTGGGCAACAAGAGTGAAACTCTGTCTCAAAAAAAAAAAAAAAAAAAAAAAAAAAATCAGTTGCAAATGTTTAATCTGTCAATGCTTGTCTACAATGTGACTTCATGTATTTCATTTCTGAAAATGTCTTTTCAGGCAGAAAGGTGCTATTGATTAGTGCTAATACTAATTAGTGTATTAATTATATATAATTAATGTTATATAATTATATATAATTAATATATAATAATAAATTATGATTATATAATTACTATGTAATTGTACCCCAAGGGGTGCAAAGGGGATATGTTGCCAGGTGGAGAGGCCACCACTTGGTAGTTCTGGGAGGACTTGCTTCCTGGGAACTGTGAGGCAGGCTTTCTATTTCCAGCCCTTCCTTAGAGTAGGGTTCAGATCACTTTCTAACTTTGGAATGTCCTGGAATGTAGACTACCTTCAGGCTTCCATATCCCCTGCTTTTCCCTGACTTAGCCTGTTACCTCCCTGCCCTCCTGTTGGTTGTCTACCAATAGAAGCATTTTGTGTGCACTTGGCTGCTGCATTAGTTTTGTTATCTTAAATCCAACAAGTGTTGATGGTTAGTTGCTGTGGCAGGTGCTTTCCTTGGCACTGGGGCAAAGTGATGAGTAAGATAGCTTTTAAGCGTTGTACATTCTCGACATGGGAAGATGACCAGTGAGCAGAAAAACAAATGAGATCACTTAAGAGAGCAGCCAGGAGTGTTGGACATCTCACAGCCATTAGCTCTGGTGCACAGGACAACTCTAAAGGTGAGGGGGTTGTGTGCTCACCTTCTGGGGTCACACAGCTACTAAGGAGCAAAGCCAGCATTCAAACTGCATATGTTATCTATTGCCACAAAACCTGTTACCCTAAAAGGCTTCAGACAACAATAATTATTATCTATCATGCTTTGTAAGTTAGAAATTCAGACAGAGCACAGTGGAAGGGTTCACCCTGCTCCACCTGCATCTGGAAGATCTGAAGTCTGGGGACTGGTATTGTCCGAAGGGTCCTTCACTCAGGGTCTAAAGGGGCTGTTGGATGTCAGCAGAGACCTCAGCAAGGATATCAGCTGAAACTCCTACACATGGCCTCTCCATGTGGCCTGGGATTCCTTATGACCTAGTGATAGTTTCAAAGGCAAGTGGAGGCAGTTGTAGAGAGCCAGCCAGGTTTAAAATATATATATATATATATATATATATATATATATATATATATTTTTTTTTTTTTCTGACAAAGCCTTGAAAGCCATGCAGCATCACTTCTGAGATACTCCACTGATCCAAGCAGTCACAAGGCCATGCCTGGATTCAGGAGAGCAAACACTCTGCCTCTTGGTGGAATGAGCATAAGTCACACTAAAAGAACATGTGGAATGGGACAAATGCCTGTTGCAGGCTGCTTTGATAAAAGCAATCTGCTGCATCTGGTCTTTCTGCTGCAAAGCCAGTGTTCACTTTACCACGTTCTTGTTCCTCCCTCTGAGCTGAGCACCCTAGTCTTGTATATTTGCTGTCATGCAGCCTCTTAACTAGGCCCTGGATTCCTCTGGATGCTTTGGAGCCAGCTGTGATCTCACCCCTAGCAGCAAATGGAAAGTGTTGAAAATGGTCCTGCCAATTGCTCCTCCCATAGTCCTCGGTAATTTTAGGATGCCCTGGATAGGCAACATTTTGCTTATCCACTCAGGGTTTTGAAGCAGAGAAATCTGATCTTACCCTTGCGGAATTCTGTGGTCTTGCCCTATCACTTGACATGAAGCTACCATAAGGTAGGCTTCATGTTAAGGGAGGCTGTCACTTGAAGGCAGGTGGAAAGGTGCTATTAGCCACTTTTTATGGTGGTTTCATGACAAGTGACAGCTTCCTTCAAATGGGATGTTACTCAAAATACTTAACCAATAATGACATCCACTTATACGGCTCCCTGGAACGTGGAAGGACATCTGGAGACTCCTGGAAGGTGAGTTCAGCACAGCAGCAGCTGTGGTAGGGAGATGTACTGAGGCCAGTGTGAGCTGGACACCAGGAACTGATGCAGTAAAGCTAGGGAGACAGATGCAGAAGCAACATTATGTGGCTTGTGGAGTGCTTTCCTCAGGTCTGTGTAGGGAGGGTAGGAAAGAAAATCCTTTTCCTCTGCCTGTCTTAGGTTCTCCAGCTGTGGCTGTATAAATCAGAATGGCATAAGACGGATTAACGAGAAAAACAAATAGAAGTTTATTAACAATTGCTTTATGCATGTACACATGGGAATACACAGTGGTGAACAATGCATTAGAATTTGGGCTTATGGCTGGGCATGGTGGCTCATACCTGTAATCCCAGCACTTTGGGAGGCTGAATTGGGTGGATCACCTGAGGTCAGGAGTTTGACACCAGCCTGGGCAACATGGTGAAACCCTATCTCTACTAAAAATATAAAAATTCGCTGTGCATGGTGATTGGTGCCTGTAATCCCAGCTACTTGGGAGGCTGAGGCAGGAGAATTGCTTGAACCCAAGAGGCAGAGGTAGTGAGCCAAGATCTCGCCTCTGCACTCCAGTCTGAGTGGCAGAGGAGACTCCATCTCAATAAT